AATATGAGCCTAATGTTTAAGTTGTTTATTTTAAAGTACCGTATGTCTAAATCCGGATGTGGTTGTGTGTTGAATAACTTGAATCACCGCACTGTATCGAATCGGAAAAAAAATTTTACGAATTCGAAGAAATTACTTTTTGTTCTCGGTGACCATTACACGTATGCAAACCCTTCGGCGTTGACCTCGGACAGAGGAAGGAAGTGCGTCGTGTCGAAGTATCGATTTCTTGATTAAACTTGTACAAACACAGCCGTGGTTTACGCCCTCGAAGCTCATTATCCATTTACGAGCACGGTGCGTTGTTTTCGGGAAAACTTGAGAAGGAAAGATGGAGACGACGCACAGAGCGCAGTAATGCTCGTGATTTCCGGCCGTGGTCGTGATTTTAAAATGCATGAGCTTCCGTGCGAGGGATTTGCAGCGTTCGTTTCCGGTTTATGCGGCCCGCATTTATTTTTATTAATGCTTAGACGTCGGGGTGTTTTTTTCCCGTCGAGGTGGCTATAGGCATTTATTTTTCCCTTCTTCTTTGTCCCCGCTGGCAAACGAAACGATTTTTCATCCGCCGCCGGTTTATGCGGAGAGCATTCCCTAGGCAATCGGGAAGAGAGATTTTGCATACAGTGTGTACAGTACACGGTGTTTCTGAAGAAAACTGCCGGCTAGTCAAAAATATGTTTCATGGCAGGAGTATATGATACCTAGGGGCAAATTTTTCACTGCTTTTTGTCATTTTGAGAAGAAAAGCGTTCCAAGCAAGGAGATTCAACTTTGATACTACAGTATCAGAAATGATCTAAGGAACTCGATATTGAACATGTGAAGAGCATCGTATCTGATAGCTTGGAGAAAACATTGTGCATGCTGCGATTGTTCGGGATGACCTACCAATTTTGTGTTACATTTTTTTCCATTACTGCTTCAGCCGGAGGGCTTTTTTGTGTTTACTGTATATTTAATAATCTGCATTCCCATGTTGTACTGATAATTTTTTATAGCACTCCGTCAAATTTTCAAAAGCTTTTTAACAAGGGCGAGACTCTATTCGTTATATTGTTCAGTAGTTCAGAGCATTCTGTGACAACCAAAAAACCGTCTTCGATGAACAAAGTCATCGAAGGCTTTTTTTTTTCTTCCAAGGAAATCAGTTAGTGCACAGAAACATTTGCCAAATGGAAGTTATTCTTTTGGTCAGATGGAATTTAGTGAAATTAATGGACCAACAATAAGTTGCTTAAAAGGGCGAAATCTTTCATTCCGTTGTAATGGTGTTTTCCCGGTAATTCTTCGTGGTCTTCGGAGAAACCCTGTGTACGCTGAAGTATTTCCAGTGATGTTCGGACGGGCTTGCAGTGTTCCCCGAGAAGTTACTGTCGTTCGGGTGGATTCACAGCGTTTCGTTTCGATCGCTGCTGGACTCGTGGGAAAGTTTAGGATCCGATCCAACCCGAAGGGTTCGTGTTTCCTATGTGAGCTTCTTTTTTTTTCGGCTTTTGTCTTCCCACATATAGAGTGGACCAAGCTGGGGTATTTCTCACGGACAATGGCTGAGTGCTGGTGTCGTGTGTTTGACTATAGTCGGTTTTTTTTTTTTTAGAAAATGATCGAAGCGGACGACTCCGTTGAACGTTATGGTGCTTGAGGGCCGTTATCTCGAGCTTTTTTCCCGGGGGAACCATCGCGCTGTCTTGAGGCCGAGCGTGGTGATCCCCCGTTTGCCATTTTCTCGGGTTATTCGCCAACCGACGAACGCGTTTCGGAAGCAAAGATGTTCGTAAATCTTTCCATCATTTGCTAGGGAACGGCGGTCGTCTGGGTTTGTCGGGCATCGAGGGTGAAGGAGTGTTGAACTTCCCGCGAAAAAAGTGACTCTCCGAAATAAATGGCGATCTTCCTCGCAGAAGGTTCATTTTCGAAATTTTATGAAGAATCTGAAAACTACGTACGGATGGGGTGGTTCACGCGCCAGCAGACCCGCAGCAACACAATTACTTTGGGGAATATATAGTTTTTATCTTCTGTCAAACGAGGGACTTAGTAAAATACAGTATTCCTAGTTTCGTCCCAAGTGTTGTTCTTAGGGAAAGGAAAGATGATGTTTTGTTCTTTTTCTTGAGGATAAATCTTAAATTTATCCTCGAAAAATCTACGAATCCAACAGACTAAAGGTGTATTTTTTTCCATTGCAGATGCCCTCATTTTCCCTCGTCATCATTCGCATTTTGACGGAAGATTTCGTTGATCTGAGAATGTCCCTAATTTTCTCCCATTTCCTTGGTGCCATCTGCCATGCTTATTCCCAAAAGGCCAACAAAAATGTCCTTGTCTTCGAGAGGTCGAACGCGTGGGGTTGATGGCATGATATCAGAAGAGTTCATATTCTTCAATGTCGTCTGACCTTCATTTGACACAAATTTCCTAACCGTGTTTTCATTCATAATTCTCCAAAATATTACTATTGTTGTTTTATTAGTTCGTGAATCATCCTTATACATAATAATCGAGTGGGGTATCAACGCTTTTCGCATATCATGCCCATGATTTTGAAAATCAGATCAGAGGCTCTAAATTCCCGTGAACATTCAAAAAATAATTATCAATTTGGTAATTTTCTTTGTTCCGCGCTTTAAATCATGCTTTGAGTTCTCATCCGCATGAATTGATGTATCTCAGGATAATAGGGGAAACAAGTGGCATTACTGGCATGTGAAAATTGCAGTGATGTGACCAGGAATCCGATTTGCCTCGCTGAATGTCAATGGGTGAAATCGTGTGCCCTTTTTACCTGATCCCGTTGTGATTATCGGAGTAGATGGAAGGTATTATATACAGTACTGTGGAATACCCGTTGAGAAAAATCAAAACCAGGAACCGAATGGCGTTTAATTTTTTTCATCCGTAACTTCGACAATCAAACTGCTGGTCTTCACGAGAAAGGTTACGATCTGAGTTGGCTCAATTAATCCGACTTCGCCAAGTTGTTGGCAATCCGTATCATTCGTGACGAAAAGCGGAGGTGTGTCGCACTGGTCATTGGCGGGAAACTTGCATTCTATGCGCTTCTTTGTTTTAAGATTTTTTTTTGTCACGCACTGTAAGTAGACGTGGGAATCGTAATCTTATTAATGCGCATAATATTCTGTTTGATCCACCGTGTTGCATTTTTATAGGATGCGGAGAGTATAAGGCATCAAATCCGTGTTCCCATTAATGTCCGTCTCGCTGCCCACTGACGAAAGATGAGTCATGAGTAGTGTTTCTTCGCCGTCTCTCTCTCTCTCCCTCGTTTTGATTTGATCACCGGTGTCACGAGGAACTGCAATGAGATTAGGACACACTAACGTCGGATTTCGTTCGACGGGATTTTGATGGATTATGCAGCACCGTGTAGAAAGATGCTGAGGGAATGCGAGAAAAACTCAGTGGGGATCTGAGGAAAGCTTTGTTCGACCGTCCTGATCGAATTCTCTCTTTGCTGCCTGATACGAAGGAAGGAGATTCGGCGTGGTTTCCCGGCCGCTAACAACTTTTCTTCGCTGCGCAAGCTACCCCAGGCGGAATTGTTCAACTTCGGAGAAGTGAAACTCTGTAGATATCTATTATGCGCAACCCAATCTGGCTTATGAATACCTCTCTCGCTTCATTCGTTGGGGGTAGCATTTTTTTTTAAGGGCTTGGGGGAGAGAGATCAGTTAGCCTGCTTGTATGGATATGTTCTGCCTCCGAGTATCCTGTCTGATTACATAGCCGGTGGAGGGGAAGTTTTCGTTTGACTTCTAAGCGTCGTGACTCCTTCGTTTACAGGAGCGAACCTTCCATCATCGTCGCAAGTTTTTTTTTTGGTTTGTTTGTTCTGAGCAAAGATCCAAGCCCAGATTGGGACGCCTGGAGTCTATCGGGCTGATTGATTTATCGAGTCCCGTATTGGCCTACTGTGCTGTTGACCTGTTGTGATGCGGAAGGAAAAGATAATAAGCGTGAGATGGATTCCCGTTTTATTTGAGTTCAACGAAGAACGCGGGGAATGCTTCAAAAGTTTTTTTCAGTTGCCTGAAGTATTTTTCTTTTGGTTACTCGTGTTTCCGAATCCGATTTCAAGTCAATGTGGGATCTGTAACAAGGCGAGTCTGTGTTCAATCGCGAGGGGGGTATTTGTAATTGGGGTTCTTCCTTAAGTAACTTGTTCCCTGTGATGAAGAAAAATCCTCACTTTTAGCGTCATTAACGCCAAAATTTCAAAGATGGGCGGAAAGAATTTTTTCTATTGCACCATGAGCATTAAATCTGAGGAATGAAGGTCTGTGAGAAGATTTTTAATTTACTCGTGGACTTCCTATTAATTTCTGAAACAAGCTAGTTTGGCCGGCGTTATATTTTTTTAAGCATTGAGTCACCTCACATTCTCCTCTCCATCTGTAACTGGGCAATGAAAAATTTGCCTGGAATTCAACATTAATTTGTCAGAAGTTACATACCTAATCCATACGCCTGATAGAACTGAAACAAAATTTCAAAGACTGACAAAACTGATGAACCGAAAAAAAATTGAAAAGGCTACAAGTCAGACGTCATCCCCCAGGAAACGGGTGATTTTCTTCGAAATAATAGAAAAATGTTCGACATTTTTATAATTTTACGCAACTTCTGTTGGGTTTCTTGAGAATGAGAATATCTGTTGAAACAAAATCAATTCTGCGTCTTTTGCACAGTACAGTACTGTACTTCGAGCATTTGACCAGTTTTTTACGACTGAACGCGCAGCATTTATTCAGGGAATTTAATCTTGTATCCGCGTAATCGTGACTGTTGCCTGGCATTATTCATATCAATATCAATATTATATGTGTTGGGAGAAATCTGTGAGTCGTTTATTGGATAGCCTTGGAAGACGCCGCGAGGAACTGAAATCTTTTCTTTGGTTGTAAAGTAAACATTCATTCAAGAAGAACGCAGCATCGTAACGTAACGTGGGGAAAACCCCGTGATATTACGTTTCAATGGAAAAACCGCAGCAGTCGGACCCATGCGTCGACCTGTCCTCTCAAGAACCATTACACCTAATTCCACTCTGTAGCAGAACAGCTGCTGATTGTCGGGAGGGTTGTTTCCGGTCTGTTTCAGCTACTTGCACCCGAGGACGAGGCAGATTCTACCAAGGAACCGAGAACGTGACGGAGGATGGGATCCCGTGTCAGCGCTGGGACTCGCAGACGCCGCATACACACAACCAACCGCCGTTATTTTTTCCGGAACTCCAGGATGCTGAGAACTATTGCCGTAACGCCGGTGGCCAGGAACCATCCCCGTGGTGCTACACGACGGATCCGGCGATCCGCTGGCAACGCTGCAACATCCCCCAGTGCGGTACGTTATTCGTTTTCGAAAAATAAAAAACGGGGGTTCTCAACCGGTGCGACGCGTAGCCGTAAGGGTTCCAACCGGGGTTCCCAGAGGCTCTACGGCTTCAAGAAAATAAGAAAGTTTGAGAATCTCCGGAGAAGAAAAGGAACCAATTATCGTATTTACCTCGAGTACCAAGCGCACCTTTTTCTTATACAGTATTTGAGAGGAAAAAACGGGGATGAGCGCCATAGGCGGGCATAATTTTTAAAAAAGTTATAGGAGGATCGGTATGCATTATACCTGAATCTGAGAAGAAATTTTTGACCGATTTTAACAGAAAACCATATTTTAATGCAAACAGTTGAATTTTAGTCGACTACATGTTCAATTCTAGTATAAATTCAAATTTGTATGTTCTTATTTTTGAAATATTGTATTGCTATTTTGGAGTCACTGTAATGGGGTGCAGTTAGTACTCCAATTAGTCTAATGAGTACGGTATATGATTACAGTATATTAATTTGCTAATTATGTGTGAAGAAGGGAAGCATAGGCAGCGACTCTTGATAAAATGTGCTAACTGTTGTCAAATTTCTAAACCCACGTTGAGGATCCTGGAAATAGTTGTTGCCGAAGGGAATCCGCGAAATACCGAAAAATTTAAGACTAATTTCGAAACAAGGTGGGGAAGTTTTCGCGCTGTATGAAGGAAATTATTTTGTACAGCATGGAATCTCTTGCAAATGTGGTCAATTCAGATTTGGATTTGTCCTCGTAAAGAAGTTTTTGACTCGCGGTTTTTTTTTTCCTTCGGTTTCACATAAGTCTATCCTAAATTTTCATGTTATTTAACTGGATATCTTGGCTTTTAAATGTGAACTCTGCAACGAAATTCAAGGAACTAGAGAAAATATCCGTTGCAGACAACTCTCTGCCACCACAAAAAGAAAATCATTATGCGGAGAAAATCGTTGTAGAGAAATTCTATCGGTATTGGGTCATTTTTGACTCGGATTGGTTAGTTTAGATTGATTTTTGTTTTTTAATTCTGGATTTTAGTGAAGTAAATCCTGGTCGTGTCATATTCTAGCGACATTTATTCACATTCCAGGAAGTAAAATATAAATGAGAATCCTACTTTCTCATTATTGAGCAGGTCTGTGAAAAGAATGTTCTATTGCGAGAGGAAAAAAAATTTAAGCATGAGCCTTTTCGGTTCTTGAACCTAAAAGGGTCTCTCGCATTCCTGGTAATTTATATGCAGTGGTTCATTTAATTGTGGCGCTTCATTAGCTTTACGATAAATTTGCTGCTCTAGAGGGTAACATCCATGCTAGAAGTTAGAATATGATGGCAGTAAATTACGTTTATAGAGGTACATCTATCCTGCTTAGTTTTCAAGATATAATACTCATGAGTAATGGGGCTTCGCCTGCCCTGGCATTAGTCTGAATTGAAACATGAAAACATAAAAGAAAACTTGGACTCTGATGTAGCAGTTTACGAGCTACGGTAATTGCTAGACTTTACTGGATTAAAAAAGCGCAACTCGGATCGAGGAATAATTTCTTGAATGAGAACTCCACGGAAATAATTTTCGATTAACCAGCTGGAATGCTTTTTTTTTTATTGTAAAGTTGAAGTCCTACTTACGAAACCAGTAATTCTAGATGAGTAGAGTGAGATCATTCCTGGATCCAAACATTCCTAGAATACATTTGACGCTTGTTGTATCGCTTCTTTGTGCAAATGAACTCCGTGGTGAATAAATGAAAGTTGATTTCCTTCATGTAACTACTGTATGCCGTACAGTACAGTATATTTCTCTTGGTTCTCCGCGTTGTATGATTTTTTTCGCGGATCGAAGCTAATGCATGGACTCATTCGTTGAGATGCAGTTAGTGTGATTGCTGGAGAGCTACCAGAAGAATACTTCATGTTGATTCATTGTCAGAAGTCATGGCCTTGTTCGGGTGAACCGCGATCGTTTCGTGGCTCATCCCTCGGGCTGCTGTATACCGTATCTCTCTGTGTTCGGCTTCGATCCGACCACCCGCTGTTGATTTATTCGTTGCGGAGAAAAGGTCTCGCTCTGTGTGTATGTGTGGGCTAAGGAAGGGTGAGGTCGAGAATGCAGTTAATTAGATTAAGCGACGGGGGGGTCGGGACCTCGGGTGCTGGAAAGCGGTAGAAGGCGTGGGATAGGGGGGTAGGGGGTTTTGCGGATTCAGCCACAGTCGGGGTTTCAAGGACAGACCATGTTGACGTAGACTCGTCGGAGAGGAATGAGCCACGGATCGTTTGTCTCATCTGGGATTCCTTCGTTTCGTTCGTCGTCGTCGTCGTCGTCGTCGTTGCCGACGACGACGACGACGATGTAGCCCGGCCGATTTCATTTCCTCGCGTGCTGCTTCTCTTCCCTGCCGCTCATCACGAAGTTTCCGGGCTACGTGTGTCGGGAACTTATTTCTATGGTATTGCTTCGAGTTCTCTCTTTGCCTTTAATCTGGACATCACCTTTTGCCGGTTTCGATTTTCTGGGTTTTCCGGTCACTAATTTCTGCCCTAAAAATTTCAAGGTTCGCACGCCTAGATTTATTTTTTTGCATTCGAGTCCCAGATTTGTGAGCGTAGTCGTAATGTATTTTTGAAATTGTGCTTAAAGAAATGTGTGAAATGATGCCGAGAATGCAGTTAATTAGATTAAGGGGTGAGGGGTGCTTTACCGCACCAATTTGTCTGCAATCTAAAGCGGGTTTTATTCATTGATAAAAAACCTGGACCCGTCTGAAGAAAAAAGAAGAAGCTCGGATACATTGTAAAAGATGGGTTGCGAGTTTGATCAGTCTCAAGCTTCCATTTTTCGTTGAATGAAGAGGAAATCATTTTTTCATCATATCCTGTCTGGCACTCGAAGTGCTACCCAATACTTCGATCATATTAAAGATTTTATCGATATTAAATTTCGATTTATACACTTTTCTCAAACCAGGAAATATTGAAAATTTGGCCAAATCTAAATGCCTCACGCAGCGAGGCAAACGGTGCAATTTTTTAGCTTAATAGCGAAATCAATTTTCAATTATTCTGCCGTTGTCCTGTATTATTGTATGATTCGGTCCCGATGAACTTCTCACTTAGCACGATGTGCGGTTACCGTATGAGGATTTCAAGCGTAGCCTATACCTGATTTTTTTTTTTAATCAAATTATTCAATCTTCTCTTCCTTCTTGTAGAAAATGAAACAATTCCAACACCAGAGACTGAAATCAGGCCGTCGGGAGAAAACGGAGACGGAAGTTTTTTTCTGAACCCGACGGCGCATCCAACATATTTAGCCGCAGTCGCAAGCGTTGGCGTCGTTGCCGTTCTGCTGGTTTTCTTGGTGATGTTCCTTTTCTGTAGACTCTGCAAGCGACGGAAGCAAGGCTATACTGCAGCTAGTACTCAGGTTCGTAACCGTGTGAATCCGGAAAAAAATATACTGTCCCCTACTGTATTTGAGAAGTTCCCGACCAATTAACTCGCGGTGCGTTTTTATTTTAATACTTGGGCTAAATTCTTGAAGATATTTTTACTACATTCAGTTTTTATTCGCACCGAGAAATTTTCATTTATCGCGTGTCATTATCCACTTCTTTTGAGTAATTTGGATCTGTTGTATCTATTCAATTTTTGTTTGTAGCTTCAAGCCGAAGCAAATAACTGCATTAGTACGAATAATTTTTCTAGTTTCGGCTTCTTCTCCGATTTTTTCTCTTTCCTGGAACGGAGTCTGCATTTTTGCGAGGGATAACAGGTACATTTAAGAGAGATGGTTTTAAAATTTCAGTACTTCAAACTTTACATTTGTTGGGGTACCCGAGGTTTTAAATCATAACTCTCAGAATTTAAGCGTCGTAGAATGGCTTAGAAGAAGAATCAATTCGTTGTATATGGCAGTAGATCGCATCAACGGCAGCTATAATATAGGTCAAGTCTTGGTCATCAATTTTTATTTCATGCCCTGAAACAAGCTGCATATTCAGCATCATTAACGCAAAAATTTGTGAGGTAAACCTTCCGTTTCCTTAGAAAGATGGTTTTTAGGCATCATCCATTGCCACGAAGAATATTTTTAATTCATGCATCATTGTCTAAAAATAAATATTGTAATTTTGGAAGGTAAAAAGTATTTCATCACAGCGATGTTATGCTAATACATGGATTTGAACATTTTCTCTTACCTTCGAACTGGGTGAGCAAATTGGAACGAACGTTAGAAAATAATTAAAAATGTCTCCCTAAAAATTATGCCCATCGAATAAATCTTCAAGAAGGCAATAAGTATGCTTCTGTTATCTGTAGAATTTAAATTCAATCAGCATTGTCAAACATTTCGACCGTAATACAGTAGTTCTTGCGATTGTTACAGGACGTGGACATTGACGTTGACAAACTACCGAGCAACTACGCGTATCACAAGACAGGCATTCAGCTGAATCCGAAATTGGAGAGATTGGAGTATCCGCGGAATGACATCATTTATATCCGAGACGTAGGGGAAGGCGCATTCGGGAAAGTTTTCCAGGTGAGGAAGAATGCAGGGGAAATTTGCATGCGAATGCCGTCTGGTTTGAAGACGGTTTGTCGGTGACGGGTCTGATGATGGCAGGAAACGAACTCTGGAGGTTTTATTTTGAAGCGTACTGATTCGAATTTTTTTTTCTTCATGTGGCAGGGAAAAGCGCCGGGCATCATAGAAGGTGAGGAGATGTCGATGGTGGCTGTGAAGGTGCTGAAGGAAGAGGCGACCGAGGATGTGGTGCAGAATTTCGAGAGGGAAGCGATCCTGCTCTCGGAGTTCGACCATCCGAATATAATCAAACTGCTCGGGGTCTGCGCTTTGGGGAAACCCATGTGTCTTATCACAGAGTACATGGCTCGCGGGGATCTGAATGAATTCTTGCGCGCCTGCGCCCCTTCGAACTACATAATGCGAGCTGCAGATGGCAGCTCTTGCTATCTGGACGTGCGTCTCACGCCGACGCACAAGGTGTTTATGGCGCGGGAGATTGCATCGGGGATGATTTACCTGTCGGACAGGAACTTTGTCCACCGAGACCTGGCGTGTCGGAATTGCCTAGTTGGGGAAGATATGCGCGTGAAAATCGCCGACTTTGGCCTGTCTCAGAAGTTGCAGCAGAGTGAGGACTTCTTCAAGGGCGAGGACCAAGACGCCATCCCGATCCGATGGATGCCGCCCGAAAGCATCCTGGGGAACAAGTTCACGCTCGAGTCCGACGTGTGGTCCTTTGGCGTGTGTCTCTGGGAGATCTTCACGTACGCATTACAGCCCTACTACGGCATGACGCACAAGGAAGTCGTCAAGTACGTGAGGGAAGGGAACGTGCTGCGGTGTCCCGAACATTGTCCGGCGCCCGTCTATCACATCATGCTCAAGTGCTGGTGCCTGAATCCGGCGGACCGGCCTTCGTTCCGCGGGATCTACTCGTCGCTGGAGCAGATAGACCACGAGTTGGAGCAAGCAGAGAGGAACAGCACGTCGTTTCCGATCATGCCTGGGCCGCAGCAGCAGATTTATGTCCCGCCTGCTGCGGCCGGAGTCGCCAGGTCTGCCAGCATGATCCGCGTGCACAACAATCCCGTGTGCCAGTGCCCGAATCAGCACAACGCCCCGGAAGTCGAAGTCGTCGCGGGCGGCTCTGTCACTTCCCCGGTCGTTGAAAGTTCTTCGGGACCGGTCGACTGCGTCTAGGAAATGATGAGAGACCGCGAGGTTTTTCTTTCTTTTTTTTGTCAGAATTTCCTTTTGGAGGAGGTTCACGAATTTTCTCGAGAATTCAGTATTTTTTACTCATGCGAAACCTCACATCTTTGTATTGGCCATGGTTTGAAAAATGCTTCGCATGATTCAAGAAAGTGCGACAGACCAGTTTCACCCTGTAAAAGTTCAAGACGTCAGTTTTAGTTCAAACATGCGGTTCCTGTCCCGATTATCGAACAAACTCGAGCAACTGCTGTACAGGTGAACTCTGTTTTTTCTTCTTTTTTTTTAAACAAACTTCCGGGTTTTTCAAAAAATAATATTATTGTGATTCTCCCCAATGTGGTACAGTTACACGCCCAACGAAATTTGAGCTCCGAACAGTTGGAGAAATGCGAAAATCAAAAAGCTATGAAATCATTAGACTTCATTTGGAAGAACGTGACATGATGCGAAGATAGAGGCCATTATTTTCAATTTTGAAGAAGGGCACCCGATTTACTTGGTGGGACATTTTTCAAATGCAGAAGTATGTTCTGTGCCATGAATTAAAAAAATTCCTCGATGTTTTCAAGATCATCAATAAATCATCCTGCGTTCGATTTCTGCAGGAATGCGTCGAAAGTCTGAAAATCCTGCTGCTCTGCTTGTGCAACTTTTCTGCAATATTTTTAGCATTTCTTGAAAGCTCAAAACCTTTTGCTCCTAGATGGGATGTTCTCACTTCTCATGCAAAATGTAAAAAATGTTTCGTCTTGATGTCCTGTATTTGAAAAACTACTTGAAGCTGTGCCAGCCGTAGGAAGAAGAATCATTCTTCAGAGAAGTTTGAAATTCGTCAAAAATGCAGTGTTTTTACTTAATTTTGGTGTTTCGTTATTCAAAATTTCATAATGTATTCATCTTGTGACTTTTAAAAAATTCCAAGGTGTTGAAAATTCGTTATAATGGAATTCTCTCTGTAACTGCTTCCTTGAATCATGTGGACAAGCTGAAAAACAAAAAACTTCGGATATTTTAGGCATTAAAAAGTGCGAGTTTTTCACTTTTCCTCCCTGCAGCCGTGGCTAGCAGTTGAATAGTGTATCAAATGGCAATTTTGTCCCAGCGCGTCGCGAGGTAGAAACGATGCCAAAATTTTGCAACGAAGGCGAACGTAATACGCAAGCTCAACTGCCCCGAAGCACTCACCGGTTTTGGTTGCATTCCGTCGCGGATGAAGAAGCTGTCTATTCAGTTTCGTGTGATTTTCAAGTTTTACCTAATTTGGCTTCCCATTTTTATTGGAACGTTACACGAGTTACGTTTGGTTTGTATGTTTTTTTTTTTTTTGCGAGGACGTTTAATAGTTGCGAGCGAAAAGCGAAACAAAATTGAAAAGGAATCTCCAGAAGATGGACATTTGGGAAGCAATGTTATGCACTATTTTACTACGGTGCTTGATATTTTTATCGTGCTCTCTTGCTAATCGAGGCGGCTTTTGGTGACTCTTGGAGACTTGAGGTGAATGTTCGAATCATTTTGTGTGGTTGGACGTTCCGGAGAGCTTGTGTTCATTTCGTCTCTCTTCGGCTTCTCCTGTGATCGTTGGTAGACGGATCTGAGGTGGAAAAGAAAGAGAAAGAGAGAGAGGAGACATCTGATACAGGAAGAAAGCGAAAAAATAAATAAAGAAAAGTACGTGGTAGTGACTAGTCAATTTCGTCGTGACCATTTTAAAAACCTAAGGCTTTCAAAAAAAGTTGCTTGCGATCTTGATCTTGTTTGTTTTCAGCATCTGATTTTACAATAGAAGAGAGAAATTAAGCGTGGGTGACTGGATCGTCTTTTTGTTTTCTTTTGACGCTGGAAGCTTTTTTGTTTCTTTCGTTTCGAACGTGGAATCTACGTTTTCCGTTGCATGTTCAAAATGAATTATGTATTGGATATGAGCTTAGTTTTCCGTGGCTCATGTGACGATGTGGAGTAAATAAAGAAATCAGACTTTGTGGTTGAACCTCTCGGAGTCTTCAGTGCTTGTTTTCAAGCTTTGCTTCATGGAGCAGTAAATAAGTATCCACGTGATGAAATTTCCTCACACTACCGGAGAATGTAAAAAACAAACTCGCTGGAATTTAAATTAGTAAAACACATACGATAGGACAGGAATAAGGCATCCAAATACGAAGTACAGCATTACAAAATTATAAATTTGTTGAGACCGAAAACAATTTCGGAAGTCCTCGTTTTCGATTGACCTTGTAAGTTCAGAAGTTTGGTCAGCATTCCGATGTACAGTATATTGCAGTTAATGAAGGACATATTATTTGATTCTATGCATGGTGCATAAAGGAAGCGCTTCTCGAGTCAAAAAGTTTCGAAAACAGTGCACGTTATTATGATGACTACAACTTAGTGCACGACACACACATGGTAGAGAGTCTATACATTAAGAAATTCTTGGAATGCAAAGGTAATCCACAAAACGAAATTGTTTCACGGGTTAAATTTTTCGGCCATAAAATACTTACATTTCGTAGAGATTCAATTTAAACTCCGAAATTTCCTCTAATATTGAGGGAAAGGAGAAATGAAGGGTATTGTTCTGCATGTTCCTGCATTTAAAGTTTGAAAAATTCATGAAGTATAATGAGCAAGAGTTGTCAGCATTACTTCCAATTAATGCTAAACAACATTATAATCACAATTTTCTGCTGAAATATACACAAGTATGATATGTATTCTGTTGAGTGGCTGGAATCGGTCACCCATAATTTCATCTCAAAGAAAAACGCGTTTCGCATGCCGAAAATTCCACGTAACAAAACTTAAATACAGGAACAAATTACAGTACTGTCATTATGCGGGGACCAGCTGTTTAAATTATTTGCAAGATTATATTGAACTTTGAATTCAACATGCTCTTTAGCACACAAGTAAGTCATTTTTTTCGCTCATCCCACGCATATTCTCATCCAGCGATTTTTTCTCTGCTGCAAAAATACATCCTAGCGCGATAGTTGCGCGATGCGTGATTTAATCCGTAGCCTTCATTAGCCCCCCATCCCTACATCCATGTCTACCATACACACTACTGGTGCACCGACAGCCTCAAACCTAATGGAAAGATAGTCACGTTTTTTTCACTCGTTTTGTTTCCGCCATGGTACATTTCAAGCTGGGCTCCCTCCGACTCTTCGGACGACGCCGGGTTTCAAGCAAAAACAGAGAAATCAGTAGATCCCGAGCCTCGACGAGGGACCAAGGGTTTCCCGACGATCCAAACCCTCGGACTTCGGATACTGCTGGCTCCTTTGGGCCAATTGTGTTTGGCGCGGAGGAAACGCCGCGATTGCGGGTCATCCGCGCAGTTCACTATTTGTCCTGCTTCCGGTGCAACAAGGCCTATCAATTCGCCCATGAGCTGGAGCAGGAAGCTGATTGCTTCATTTGTAAGGGCTCAGTCGACAGGTCGACGGATGCCTCGTCATCATTGCCACAGCTGCTGGCCACGAAGTCCGACGTGTGGGCAACCAACATTTGCAAATGCTCAAAGGAGTTCGCTCGCGTACACACGCCAATGACGACGCAGTGAGTGCGGTTGATTGAAAAAAGTAAAGAAAAGGAAGTTAAAGTACAATAAATGAGGTACCACATTGAAGGAACCTTTGCTCCGAATATTTTATTTTTTGATTTCGAATTCAGTCTAGGACTTTATACAGGGTTTTATTGTTCTACATGATAAAATTGAAGATGCTGCTCTGGTAAATGTTGCGTCCAGCACACAGGGGGACTTCTTACAACAATTTTCTCCATATAACGAATTTTTCCGTCCCATGTGAAACTCAAATCTTAAACCATATTAACAAAGAGGTTCTCCGTAACGAAATTTTAATCTGCAACATATTTGTTCTGGTCCCCTAAATTTTTTTGCAGAGGGAGTCCACCTGTGTAACTTTTTCTTTACTGGAATCCAACGAACGAATACAGTAATTCTTTAAATTTATGATCTTTTGATGGACAAAAATAGGCCATGAATGCATGAAATGATTATGTAGTTGAACCTTTGTAACTCAAACCTCCGTGAGTGGAATACCTCTCTTTTGGATCAACTTCCCGTGCTTGAAGGTTTTCACCTCAAACCTCCATAACTCCTATTTTATGGAGGCATTTTAGCTACTGTATTAGTTTATTGACACAGGAAAGAGTAAAGCAATGAAAATGTAAAGGTGTGTTTTGAAGCAAATGGCTCATTGGGCTATTGGAACCTTGCTTCCAGCAAGTTCAGCAACTCATTTAGGAAGCAATTCAAGACCCACAACATCCCCACTTATAACTTCCCGTAATTTGTCTTTCATTCCTCCTACAAAAATGCTTGCTTCCCTGATTTTAAATCCCTCCCAGCTTCAATTTTTTGCTGGTCCCTTAAAGTTTGCCTTGAAGAGGTTCCACCTGTATTTGATCTCTTACATGCATGGAGTACGTATAAACCCTTACATGAGTCTGATGAGAAATGACTGCAGGGGAAGTTCGACCAACAGAGCTTTAATTATTGCAAGAAAAAGGTAAGCATGATCCGATCCGACCTTGAAATACACGTCCTCTTTTTTGGATTTGATGAAGAGGGGGAGGCATCCCGATTATTTGGGACATCACCGAGGAAAATGTTGAGCACATGAACGGACCGACGGAAATCAACAACAATATTTCAATTCGCACCGACGACCGTGACGACGCGGAAGCACTGGAGGTTGACTGCGAAATGGAAAGCATTCATCGACCTGCCCTGACAACTGAAGGATGTCAAACTGATGCTGTTCAGGTATTGTGCGAGCTACTCTTTCATGCCAAAAATAAAAACTACTGTCGTAACAAGTTTGAAGCATCGTTCACGTGCGTACTAGAAAGTCTTTCATCTTCGAGTTGAAGAGAAAACTGGACGCGTGAGATTTTGTGGTACAGTTTATTGATCAAATTCGCGGTACTCGAAACTCTGTGCTCCTTATATAGGGATGCATTTTTAGAGGTAAATCCAGAAATTGAAGGCAAGTATGAATAAAGAGGACAAGGCCAATAGCGGAAGTGCGAATACGAGAAAAGTATTCTGAGCATTCATCAATTAAGATGATTAAAAACGCCCTTTTTAGTTTACTAACCCAGACGAACTTACTGAATATCACCAATTCTAGCCGAGCTAATAATTACTGAAAATCTCCCATCGTAATTTGACACCGACCTTGGAATTTAATCAACGTTTTCTAGGCCTGCTGCTGTTCCGATAATTGAATTCCATTGAACACACTTGCTGTCTCCTCGCGAATGCGACTGGTGTTTTGTGAACCTGCTGAAAAAACCAGATATTACTTCGTGCAAAATACTGTACTTGAAAGGCTACCTGTCCCCAAATTTAGAGTTATATTATAATTTTGCAATATCATGTCAGAGATTGATTTCGAAGATAACACTACTATGCCACTGACAGGTCAACAATTCAGGAAAAAATGTCTCAATTTCCCGAAAAGTAATTTCGTCCGGATGAATTTCACGAAATTTTCTTCTGTGGTATTATACTACTGTATATCTTGTCAGTTTCTGTACGTACATGTAAAATGTTTTTTTTTTTATTCGAAAAAATCTTCATAACGGTTTTTGTCGTAACAGCAACAGAATTCAACCTGCAATCGCAATGCGTTCGTCATTCGAACCCTGGTTGGTTCCTATGTTTAATGACAAATAGGGTATAGGGCAGGAAAGAGAAAGGTGTCATGGAACCATTTGTATGGTTTTTTTCTCCTTGCTTATTGCTGGGTTGGACCACCCATTAATACCGTGCCAGAGGCGTTTCGCTGGCAGCGGTAGAGTGATGAACAATTCATCACTCATCATTCCCAAGGATATACTGCAATCCACATTCCTACATCTCGATAAAAAACGATACGAGCCTTCGTTTCTTTGCCCTTGCAGATAGTCCCTGCAAACTGCCCCATCGAGGATAATAAGCAGATAGCTCTGCAGAGACGTCGACGAGAATTGGAACGAGCCCTGGCCGTGATTGACCGCCGCCTCGAGTTTTCCCGGGGCCACTCGCCGTACCGCGGATCGTCGCCGTTCACGGAATCACGGACGCCGACTATTGCTTCATCCAGTGTCGCCGGCGGCAATGACACCCAATTCCAGGAAGTCGGGAGGGAATACTTTGTCATAGAGCAGGACCCGACTGTAGGGACGAGATTGCGCCATAAAACAGGTCGGCGCCGGTAACATCGAGGACGTTCATCCGGCGCTGATGACTGCTGTTGCTGCTGCTGCTGCTGGTGATGGTGCTGGGGCTCAGCTTTCGGGATTGGGTCAGATATATAGTGATCTTTTCCTCAGCACAATAAAAAGGAACCCCGGCACCTACAGAATTTTCTAGAAAATGTCGGAAAATTTTCGAGGTTTCCATAGACCACAGGTGAATTTATGCTCTAGTATTTTAAACTATTCTCGATAGCCAACGAGATTCGATGAGAAAAAAAGCGCTGATTCATTTTCTATACGAATTTCCGAAAATTTGCCACATGCATTAATTCAAAAGGAAACCTTAGTTGAAATTTCAAGTTGCTCTTTTAATCCCGAATAATTACTCTCACGCATTGTAAACAAATTAAATACTTCATTGTAGAAAGCAACAGCAACCCCATGAAAAGAAGTTTTTTAAATTCATCCATGATTCCTCGAATCCTGACAGGAATTTACCCAAATCATTCTAGCCCCGAGAAATGCTGTGTATAGTTGTCCTAATTTCAGAAAAATGTTTCTTACGTTTTCCTTCAAAATACAGTAAAGTACTTGAGCGTTTCTGAAAGCAAAAAGGCTGTATTGGTATTTTTGTAATCCCTTTTATAATTTTTTTTTATTTTTTGTGTTCATTGGTGCACTTCAGAATCCGTGCAATATGTGTGATGAAAGTTTTAAAATAAATTTGCTCATAATTGCAGACCTCTCAGATAAATTTTTATTTCTTGGCAGACCAAAATCACGATGAGAGAGCGAGAAAAAATTTTTCAAAGGTACATTAATTTTACTGAATTCAAATTTTAACAATTTTAATCTCTTGTCCTTTTTCAGAGAACTGCTTCTCGTCGGGAAGAAATTTACGTCATTCCCGGATTTTTATGCACCATTGGTATTTTGGGGTTTCATCTTCTGTTGGACGGATGTCTTGCAGACGTTTTCAAGGATCACGTACTGCATACATACGGGAACAGGATGTTCACCAAATGATTGATAATTGAATATATTTACATCCTCTCACAAATCTACTACGACGCATATCGTATTCAACCGCACCTTTTATCCTTTTCCTTCTTTTGTTCAATTGCGGCAGAATCGAAATGAAAAAAGAGAAATACATTCAGTCTGACTTGGTAATGGTGATATGGTAATGAAAATGTTTCATACTCTCATCATTCTTCATCTTCAAGATGACATCGGTTTGCTGACTGAAAGCTCATAATTTATTCAATTTTGTTCTCATTTGACTTGCCTTACGTAGGATTAGTTTTCTTCATCCGCCTCTTTACACAAACGTTTGGAAAGTCGCTCCACTTTTTAGTTTCAGGGAGGTTTTGATTTTTCCAAACGGTAATAAAATGTCTCATAATTCTCAATATTCAAGAATACATAAGTTTGCTGACTGAGAACTTCTGACGGTTTTTTATTTTTCCGTTCGATTCACCTTTTGCAAAGGATTTTTCTTCTTGACTGCTCTTCACACAACAGTCATTTCCGGAAAAAATGCTCCGCTCCTTGATCTCAAGGAGTTTTCATGACATAGAACTCCCTAGAATGCCGCGTCGTTAAAGTTGAATCCGGAGAAATTTATATCGTCCCGCACATCAAAACGTCGCAAAAAGAGGAATGAATGCGAATGAGTTGGTGAAGTAACCGTGAGCTTCTCTCGGCAATTCTGCTCTTTATTTATTCTTTTCTCAAAAACGAAGGAACATTTTTTTTTTACAAGTCTTTCTTCGGATGTTTCGTTGAAGGGCAAGCAGACAAAGCTGTGATTACTGTCCGCGGACTCGTTCCATCTTGCGCAAGTCTTGAACAGCGCAACAGTCGTCATGATCGAACCGCGTTGGCTTGAGTTCCGAGCGTCCGTTAATCGACGATGGTGAATTCTTTTCTTTGCAGTGCAAAAAGCAGGGAAAGCTACCTCGGTAGTGCTTTTTTGTTTGTTTGTTGAAAATGTATGATTAAAATGACCTAAAAAAACGTATGCATTCTAGGAAAATAAAACGATATGCTCGCAGTGTTATCATGAATTTCCATTTGTCGCTCCTGAATCCTGATCCACAGCATTTTTCTTCTCTCTTATTTTAATATCATTTTTTTTCGTAAAAGTTACAAACAGAGGAGAGCATGTAATAAATTGTTATTATATCTGAACTGTGAAAAAGCTCAATACAGTAACGGTATAATTTTTCTAATTGTACCATTATGTCCTCCCAAAAAATGAAACTTGTTCACTGAATATGCCCAAGCATCATTACTTATATCACTATAGTATTCGTTAGCAAGCCCTGTTTGATTAAGTCTCTGAAATGTGATGAGCAGAAACAATATCTCATCCAAAAATATCTCAGAATAATCAGATGCATTTTTCATGACTCCTCAATATCAAATTTTTGAAACTGCTATGCTTCGAATCCGCATGAAAAAGTATTGGCCATAATAAAAATATTTCAATCAACCAAATTTTATCAAATTTTGTACAGTATTTTTCAATTTGTGATCGAAACCATTCATAATATAAGATTCGTTTTATCTTCAGGCAGTAAACTATTCAGCTTTCGAGTATAGGGACTCAAGTGATCTTGTTCAATCACTGTAATTTCGGATCAGGTTTCTTCTCTCAGCATTTTATATTTTTTCAAAAAGGTGGACAGGAAAAAGGTCAAGTACCGTACACGATAGCTTCTCAGCGGGGTGTATTTAATTGTGATTCCTGGTTTTAAGAAATAATTCTGATTTATCGGGAAATTTAAAGTACAACAAGATGAGATGGCAAAGCGAAGCTTCGTTCGTGATTTTAAAATTTTGCTGAATTTTTAAAATGTGTTTCGAATCCTTGAAGTTTATACTAGCCGTGGCCGATTGAAGAAAATTCTAACTTTTAAACTGTCAGACGTACGACTGATTTTGACGAAAATGAGGACCGGTTTTCTTTAGTGGGCCAGGACGGTTTGTATTATTGTCGCTATGAATTGTTAGTCACCTAATTTCACGCATAATCGCGGTGTCATCCTGCCAGACATTTTAAGCACCTGCACGAACCTCATGAAGCCACTTCCGTCTCCGTCATCCAAATACACTTGCTCTATCTTTCAGTCCAACAAAACAAACAATGCGACTTTATTCCGATGGAGTCTCGAAGAAAATTCTATTTTATTGAAGGATAATTCGCATCAGCAGAGGCTCTCGCATCGGCCAGTCTTCGCGCGTAGGTGTTCAGTGATTCTTATTCCCCAGTGATTCAAGTGTGTTCATTGTTCAATGATCATGGTCTTTTTCTTGAAATTACTTTTTTAACCGATTAAAGTATTCGATTATGTGGAACCATCTCAACTATCCTCTGTGAAATTGTTTCTCGTCTGAAAGTTGAGAGTATCAACATTAAACCGCATTCACTTCGAACTTAAATGCCAACGATTTTGTACGAAGAAATTCACCAAGGAACGCAAAAGCAGACTAAACTTGCAGTATTTTAGAATGGGCCACATTTCAATCTGATTCTTACGTATTCGCACGGATTTTTGTACTCAAGAATATTGATTCATATGTAAGTATTGTATGTAAAATTAGCATGGAAGTTACTCATCTGAGGATACTGAAATCGCATTGGTTTTTTGGGATCACGAAAACCTTGATTTTTTTCTGAAAGACTTTAAACTTTTCATTGTTATGTCTAGCAATAACTTTGAAAAAAATCTTACATTCGACACTTCATCGTACTGTGTTTGGTATTCTCTCTAGAATATTATGCTTTTTCTCGTGTACATGCATATGCACTATCGTATACTTATTTTATCATATTAATATTGATTTGTTGCCGATGTTATTGGTGCCTCATGAAAGAAACGCCGCTAAAAGAGTAGGCGTCCCAATCTACGAGCTGATGGGGTAAAAAGGACTCGAAAAGAACCTTATTTTGCCCCAGATCATCAACACTGACGAATTGGGAAAATTAAAATGCTGTTCGAAGAAAAATTCATGTCAAGAATGAAAAATGCCTCATAGAACGAATTGATCATACGAAATTTTTAGTTTTTGCTGCGATTTAGTACATCATGTCTTGACAGGATAAAAGATGAGTTTTTCTCGGATAATTTGTCTTTTTTCGGAGGCAAATTTTTTCTCAAACAAGGAACTGTGCAGATCGGCCAGCAGTCACGTTTTGGGAAGAATTATGTTCGTCAGAAATGGCATTCTGTTTTTTTTTTTCTTCGACTGCTACCGAAGATCAGGATGCACAGTATTCTACAGTTTAAAATAACGTAAATGTGGTACTCGAGGCTCATTTATCCAAATCATCTGTTCAATTTACTTCGGTACTGTGCACACGTAATCACAGTTATTATACTGTAGTCACTTTTTCAGGAAATCAAAAAGATTTTCCACAGAAAACGTATTGAAGTGCTATTTTTTACTTCAGAAAAGGGTTTTCCGGAGAGGGGTTTTCGTTGCATTGTGGCCTTTTGGTGCAATTATATTGATAAATAATGCATATTCACGATTTGGACCGCATACAGTATAAAGATAACCTTACTCATTATAACTGATTGAATCAAAAGCTTTCGTTCGAAAAATGTGACTTTCGAGTGGCTTGGCTTTGAGAAAATTGAAAAAGAAATTGAATGGCATTGACCGCATAAAAATAAAATCCCACAGGAACCCTTTCGCTTTTAAACTATATGTGAGAAAATTTCGATTTTCCCATTCGTCTGAACACTCATGGGGGCACAGAATCAACCCAGAACCATTTCACTTGCCGGAATGACCCGTAAATTTGCCTTTCGAAAAAACCCCCCGTCTTGAAATTTGGGTGGAGCTTGTTAATTTGTTCCCACGGCAGCTGAAATTATTCCACCTGGGGAGCGCGGATTGCATGAGCTCTGAAGTATCCCTGCTGAATTCCGAACCGTGATTAGCACATTTCTACCGTGTAGAAAGAGCGAATCGAATCCATTCCCAATTTGCATCTTGAGAGGAAGGCTTGGGTCTTCTAATAAGTCTAATTCTCTGTATCTACATACTGTAATCCTAATCTTTCTTCTTGCGTAATTAAATTTCATCAAGTTTGAGTACAAAGAGTGGAACAATCTATGTGCGAAACTGGGATATTCAACTAACGCAATAATCCGCGGACTCTGTTTTAATCGTTTCGAATTTTCCCAAACGTTGCATTCTTTAATTGATTAAGTTTCATCTGCGAATCGGTGTACAATGTGTCGATCAATCTGACGAAAATTTTATACTGTACAAAACCCAATTATGCTTTAGTTAAGGATTTGTCTCTTTTTTTCATGTGTTCAAAATACTGTACTGCGTGTGAATCGGAAAAAAGTCGATACACTTTCATACAGCTTCTGTTCATCTATTGAATGGCTCAAGGGGTCAGGTTGAAATTCCTTTAATTGATTTGGCGTTTATTAATATTTAAAAAAAAACATTTAATTCGTTTGTTCCGGCCATTCAAAATGGGAGAGCGAGAGTCCATTCTTCAAGGGTTGTCTCAGTTTCTCTTGTCTCAGAATGTTTCATAAGCAACTAACCAGACAATTTTTCCATTGTTTGGAATAATATTTTAATATTTTTCACTGACATCTTTCAGATTTTATTTTTAAAAAATATGATTACGAGGAGAAGAAGAATTTCGATGGCAGAAGTACAGTAAGTAGTTTTCCGTTGCAGTTCCGTGCTCAATGGTCCATGCTGTAGGCAAACATTTTAAGGAAATTTCTGGTCGTACTGCTCGACAATCATTCGCGAAAATCGCGAAACTTTGGCCTCAAACCCACAGAAAGCCCCCCGGATAGAATTTGCCAGAGGAAAATGTATTCCGGAATGTTCAGCTGATGGCGTCGCGGAGCTTATCACGAAAATCACCGCGTTTTCCTTGGAAACCCGAGCGCGTCTCATTACGAATGCTGTCGGGCAGGATATTGCCTTTCCGCGCGATTATGCGCTTTGAGCGGAATTCAATTCCCGTTTGATCCGGGGTTAAATTGGCTGCAACAAAAAAAAGGAGAAAAAGAAAAATGGGGGCGGGGGGGGGGGNACCATCTCAACTATCCTCTGTGAAATTGTTTCTCGTCTGAAAGTTGAGAGTATCAACATTAAACCGCATTCACTTCGAACTTAAATGCCAACGATTTTGTACGAAGAAATTCACCAAGGAACGCAAAAGCAGACTAAACTTGCAGTATTTTAGAATGGGCCACATTTCGATCTGATTCTTACGTATTCCTGCGGATTTTTGTACTCAAGAATATTGATTCATATGTAAGTATTGTATGTAAAATTAGCATGGAAGTTACTCATCTGAGGATACTGAAATCGCATTGGTTTTTTCGGATCACGAAAACCTTGATTTTTTCTGAAAGACTTTAAACTTTTAATTTTTATGTCTAGCATTAATTTTGAAAAAAATCGTACATTCGACACTTCATCGTACTGTTTGGTATTCTCTCTGGAATACTATGCTTTTTCTCGTGTATATGCACTATCGTATACTTATTTTATCATATTAATATTGATTTGTTGCCGGTGTTATTGGTGCCTCATAAAAGAAACGCCGCTAAAAGAGTAGGCGTCCCAATCTACGAGCTGATGGGGTAAAAAGGACTCGAAAAGAACCTTATTTTGCCCCAGATCTCAAACTGACGAATTGGGAAAATTAAAATGCTGTTCGAAGAAAAATTCATGTCAAGAATGAAAAATGCCTCATAGAACGAATTGATCATACGAAATTTTTAGTTTTTGCTGCGATTTAGTACATCATGTCTTGACAGGATAAAAGATGAGTTTTTCTCGGATAATTTGTCTTTTTTCGGAGGCAAATTTTTTCTCAAACAAGGAACTGTG